AACAGGTTTCTTGTTCATTTTGTCGAGAATGAATGCCGTTGAAATATCGTCGATTCCTTCGAGTGACTTTTAGTTTCGAAGCAATCCCACCGATTTAACTTTGCGTTAAAGTATCCCCCGACTAATTCAGCTCCGTCTGACTTATTGGATTGGAATCGCGTACTTTTGAAATAGCGACGGATTCGAGCGTGTCGTTTTGTCTCAAACCATTGCTTTTAAATTGCCCATATACCAGTTAAATTATAACGCGGTGGTATAACAAGGGATACAGTTCATAAAGTGCATTATCCGTGAGTTTTGGTGCGAAGTTTTCAGAATGTTATTATTTTCAGAGTCCTTTGAAACTTAATGGCCCGTTACATATCGGTTTCAGAGGAGAGAAGGTGTACACATTAACCCTTACCAAATAATTCTAAAAATCTGAAAATTTTTTAAACGTAGTAAATTTCTTTAAATAAAATTTTCAAATTAAGCAAATAATTTCTAGAAACGTTGCTTTGAAGAGACTTCGAGGGGTCTTGGCTCAAAAGCGCCGTTTCCTCTCTTCCAGCCACTTCTGTTCTGTAGCAGTGCACTTGACTTGGCCATAAATATCATAGACACACGGACTCGGTGGACCCAGCTTTCACCGGAATACTGCCAACTTCAATTGCAATTTTCGTTTTCTCTCTAGCTCGAAAAATACATATGTTCTGCGAACCCATTCCATCGGACATGTTTTAGATATCTGTAGGTACCAAAATAAATAACTTTCCAACAATGTTTATTTTCCATTCTATAGAATAAGGAAAACTTATATAGCTTGTTGAAACTTCTTTGGTTGGCAAAAGTATGGTAAGTGAAGTAAATTATCAGTAATCATCCTAATAAACCTAGATGGTCAAAGTGTTATGCTATACCTGCGGACATACGTATATTAAAATTTTAATTAGGTACTGCATTACAATTTCATTGCATTTCTGAAGATTTGGCAAAAATCGGGAAATCGGAAAAACTGCATCGTATTTTGCAAGTGTTAATACACCCCGGAAATATGAGGAAACTCACCACTAAGAATTGTTTTACAACACGTTTCCTATTTTTCCCAAACTACACAAATTAGTAATTACAGAACAATAACCTTAAAGACAAATTGGACCTTTTTACAGTTGCCTTTATTAAGGTACTTTACATTATTTTATTATTAAATTAAAACCACCAACCATACATGCTCCGTGTTAAAAGTTACTTCTGCATAAAAGGGAAAGCATCGATGCACGGAAATTTCCTAACTCAATATAGTAGTGGTAAGTGTTTCAATCAACTTGTAAATAAATAAAATCGGAGAAATACCCAATGTAATTGCAAAGTAGCTGGGAAAAGAAGAATGTAGTAAATACACTGCTCATCGTTTTTGAAGAAGAAGTGTTGCCACACCTCTGACCAATGCAGGAAGCGACGATGATTACTATTTTAAACGCGACAAGGAAAGAAAATGTACCAACGGAAGCCTACATTGAAAATACCACACAACAAAACTGACATTTAGAACAAAAGTTTTGAGTGCGAACTTATAAATATAGCAATCAATATTGGTAATTACGGTACTAGTAATTTTTCCATTAATGTATATGTTAATAAATAGTTAAATAAATATAATAATAAAATAGTGCGTCACGAAACCAGTAACTGGGGTTATGTGAATACGAGTGAATTTATCGGACCAAGCCGACAGTTGAGACCTGCGCATAGCGAGTATTCGCAAAAATATATTCTGGGCGAGTATCAATTTTAAATGAATAAAATTATTAGTAAAGTAAATTGTTTTTGACAGTACACAATCATGTAACTGAAAATACATAAATAATGCTGCATAGCCTAATGGTAATAGAATTCGACCGATATGCGAGAATCACGAGTTCGAACGCCGTTTAACGCTGAATATTTTTTATTATTTACTTTATTTACTCCTATAACAAGATATTTTAACAGTTACCTTGAGCTGAATACTATAGCTCAAAACTTAAAAAACTTTGCTTTCCTGTAAAAATATGCATCAGCAACAACCGGTATCATCAAGCAATATCAATAACTACGAAAAAGAATCTGTAGGTTAAATTGTTTGGTTTCTGGTCATCTGAGACGTATCGAAAACGAGTGATGCCGGTCGGAGGTATAAAAATAGTATATTATACGCCAAGGAGTGAAGACAATCATTCACTATAGACCGAACGTAGATTATACCCGAGACGCGATGCGTCGAGTGTTATACGCGTGAGGTCTATAATGGCGTATGTACAATTTTTTTCACTAGTAGCGCACTGCTAAACACAAATTTTAAAAATTCTCAAATTACACTAGTTTACAAGGTTTTATATCCAAAGACAAAAATAGTTGATTCGAAAGGATTTGGGTTCGGGAAATTCAAATCTGAAAGCAGAAAAACTCCATCACGTCAGGTTTTTGAGATATTTATATAAACATACCCCGTATTTATTTTCTTTTATACAACTCTTGTAACTTTTTTATTTTTAAATATATATGAACATATAGTTCTTTGAACAAATTTGTATCATTTTAAAACATCATTTATGCAAATAAATAACATGAGTGTCAATTTTTCAAGCTAGTAGATTGTAATCAATGTTTTATTTAAAATTTTTCAAGTATTGATTTTAGAATAATTGCTTGCTTTTGATTTTTCTACGGGAGGTGATAATAAGTGAGCAATCTAACTGAGGTTCGCCTCACAAAGATCTTTTAAAATGATACAAATTTCCTGAAAGAAATACAAGTTTATTTTTAAGAATAAAGAAGTTACAGGGGTGGTATCAAATAAAAGCACCACCTAGTATATGTTATTAACATTATGACTGAAAATTAAAAATGATTAACACTAGCGTTTCTTTTATTGACAATATTGTCAGTTTCCCTTATAATAGACCAACAGTAACATATTTTCGTCCCAAAAATCTTGATACCTTCTTGTTAAGCATATTTGAACAGGTCTTCCCGCTTTAGATACTATAATTTTACCACAAACGTAACAAAACTGATTTGCACTTACTTTGCAGGATCTCGAAGACATTTTTTATGCGAAAATGGTGCATTAATATGAATCACTTTAACACTAAACTGAAGGTAAAAGCAAACTTCATTATTTTGGATTTATGAAAAAACCTGACGTGATAAGGATTATCCGCTTTTGGATTTGTTATCAGTAAGTAATTTAGAAGTCAAAAATATTTTTTTTATTTTTGGATATAAAAAAAGTTTAAATTTGTAAACTAGTGTTATTAAAAGTAAAATTACATCACTGACATCACCTAATTGGGCTTTGATGTTTGCTGTCCTTATTTTTCAACGTTTGCAAAGTTGGCTAGTAATGAGGTTTGTAATTTGAAATTTTCAATTAACTTAATTATTTTTTAGGAAATATGTCACAACAGTGAACTATCTATATACCCCTCCTGAGATACTATTATGGCAGTTAGTATTTGTATATCCCCCGTGAAAATAATTGCCAAAAATCTGGTAATTACCAGTTTTCGTTTGTCAAGCATAACCTCAATCTTTTTTATAGACCTTGGTGAGTAATGATCAACTTCACTTCCATTATTAAACTTTGATGAAATTTCTTTATCATTCTTGACTTTGGTAAAGAAAAACGAATTCACAACTCACACACAAGCATGATAATGGTACATTTATACGCTACTGGTGAAAAAATATAAGTATGTATTTTTAAGTAAGGTGCAAATGATACACTTTGTGTATCTTTGGTGATATGTAAGTACAGATATGCTACAGACGTTTTGTGAACGAACTAACCACACACAAAACTTTGTACCTACTATAGAACTGAACTGTCTTGATTTATTTAATAATGACCACTGTATTTTTGCAGTTTTTCGTTTCTGTTTTTTTAAATAAAGCATTGTTTAATAAATTGCTCCACTGTATACTTATAATTTCTCCTCAAAAGAACTTGACATTAGATACGAAAAAACGTAAACAATTTCTTTAGGTATGGCTTTCAAATAACCTAATGTAGTGTCAATATATTATTATGTAGAAAGAACTTAATGAATAAAATTAATAAACTGTTTTCAGCGACAAGATTTGTTTTGGAACAAATAGGTATACATACCTACATATATACACAGTCTTAGTTATCACGATTTTTTTTCTTTTACATGTATAAATTTGAATAAAAATATTATTTACGCTCAATATAAATCTGAATAATATTAACAATTTAAAATCCTATTAAAATGTCCTCAGCATATAATTAAATAACTGAAGTAGTTATTTCATGTGGCATGCAACATGGTAAGAACGTACTTGGAATTTCAACAAGCCGTCGGTGACCGCCAATTCCAGTTTTCGATTGTTGTTTTCTTAAAATCTTAATAGAATGTTTGACACTTAGAAAAAGACTTAAAAACTGGAGCAAATGAATACGCATTAGTTCGGTAAAATTAGAAATCGTAATTTGAGGGTTTTGTGTGCTAAAAGATCCAGTCCAAAAGTAGAATCCATGTGAATAATATGCACATAAGATGCCAAAAAACTGCTGCAAATTTTTGGTGACAAGTTAAATGCAAAAATAAAATATATAAGTTGTATTTTTTGTTTATTTCAATAAGTAACAGAGTAATCTAAACGCTAATAAACTTAAAATGTCAAAGTTTCCATTTGTTATTGATTGATCTAACTCGACACTCATTTTAAACATTAAATAGTCTTTGCCATTAAAGCGTAAAACTGTTTTGAAATATAACAATAGGCGTCACGAAAGCTTTCAGTAAATTCATCACATCAAATCGGCCCGAAAGAACATACGATTACCTACAAAATATTTCTACTTAATACAATGAGTAACATACACATTTGTGCTATATAACTGTGGAACCGAAAAATTTGAACGAACTGTGTAAATGGAATTTTATTGTTATGAACCAAGTCAAAATAGTGTATTTAGATTTATTCCTAAATTTGGCTAATTTGGAAAAACTCACCCAGCAGAAATCACCAAAAGTAATCCAAACTGTAGTCCTAAAAATCACAAAGAATGTTTTCAGAACACAAAGCCGTCACGATTTCCATACGACCCGGAAAACACAAACAAATCGAACGCTAGAACCCGACGAAAACTAAGAAACTTTCCTAATCAAACAATCAACATTTGTTATTCACTCATCACGTGTCTTCATTAACTGCCCGTCTCATTCTTCACTTAAACATAAATATAATGATGTATAGCATCCGGAATTGACGACCCGTCCTGGAGCACAACACACACTCCTTCCAACGCGGCTAGTAGCAGACTAAGAGAACTGAATTCCGGTGAAGCGGATGCGTTCGTTTTCCCCACCACATCAACATGTCCTTTACCTGTACAGCCCCAGACTTGATTCCTATTGGTTGCAATCAAAGGGGCGCGCAATAATTATTCTTGAAGACCGGAAACCACCAAAAACTGTCAAAGACCCTCATAACTTCAAGATTATTGCCCAGAAGCTTCGATCAAGTGACAAACAAGTACCACCAGGTGTAAAAGTTCAAGACTGAACGCAGCAACAGATTTTTTTTTTTCAGGAATGTACAAATATAGAAATATTTCAGCTCGACTAAAAAGAATAAGTGATGTGTTTGCGTTATCTGTAGACTAGTCTGCTAGGAATATTTGTATTTTTGTCATAAAATCATCATATACCTCTACTCATAGGTAGGGGAACTAGGGGCTTGTTGTAACAGGGGTAAGTTGTAACACTAAATTTTTACCCACAATTTAAACTCTTTAACGTCAGGTATTTTACTGAATTTAATTCTTACACCATAAGACATCATGTCATCACAACCACTGTTCCTTGAGCCAGCACAGTGAGTGGATGTGTGCACGTGTTTCGTTTTGGCCAAGTAATGTAAAATATTGGTTTAGTAAAATTTGGTTTTTCGTATCTGTTATTAATTAATTTAAAACTTTTAGTTTTGCATGTAGCTCAAAAATTACTCAGCTTTGATATTCCTTACACATTTTGACGCTAAGCCACATAATTTCGTCGAAATGTAATTAAATGTAGAAAATTGTACTACGGGGCATGTTGTAACAATACACTTGGGGCAAGTTGTAACATGTTACAACTTAGTAGTAAATTTTTAAGTTAAAACAGAATTCGTAATACAAGGTGTTATGGAATTAAATGCAACAAATTTAACCGGTTATAGAACTCATCATTGGCCTAAACATTTTTATAGAACATTTTGTTTAAAACTCAATTGTTCAAGAATTAAAATTGAAAAAAACATGAACTGTAAAAAAATGTAATTTTGCCATACCGATATTAAAGAAGTGGTTTAATCTTAATTTTGAGGTAAAAAATTACTACTTTCTATGTGTAAATTTACATTTTGTTGAAATATTTTTCAACTTTTCTGTATTTATGCCCTATTTTTAAAGGCATCTTTAGGCGCGGATCCAGGGGGGATCCCCTGACACACGACTGAAGTACTTTATTTTGACCAATTTCAACATTTTGAAATCGCATTTAATTTTGTAAATACACTATATACGTGTAACGAAAACAACCAAATGTCACTTTACCCATGCTAAGTGAAAAAGAGTATACAGCTAAAATTTTATATATTTTTTTTTGTTTAGAACGAATTTCTCAGGGATAGGTATCGCACAAAAACTGCCCCCCCCCCTAAACAAAATCCTGTATCTGCGCCTGGGTATTTTACACTTTAACGCCACTTGATTCCGTGTAAATATGCTACGATGAGTTTCAAAATTACAGAAATCTAGGTAATTACACCGTATATTTTGGTATTATTGCATGTATACATGACCAAGAATTACCAAGATTAGGTACAGAAACGCCATTCACTGGCGCTGCGTAAAAGTTTTGGTGACGGATTATTTGGAGGTAAGTGTTCAATTTGTAGAAATGTGGTTTGGACAGTGTTTGTTTTAAGTTATGTTGCACACATTTTATTTAATTAGATACGACTGTACCGAAATAGGTACACAGCTACAGCAAAGCTTTGTGAACTATTCTAAGAAAAGTAGAGCATACCTATAGCTCAGTACATGGAGTACATGGGTATATACCTACTCGTATTTCCCACTTGCATGAACTTTTTCCAACTCATGTGAAGTAAGTGCTCTTGGTGCTCTATTGTATAACACATTTTTAAGGGTTCTTTTCAAGGATCTGTTTAAATACCAAAAATTGATGTTTTCGATATTATAAGTTAGAGGAATGAATAAACTGATGTCTGAAAATAATAGTGGAAATTTGCAGTTAATATGAACCCTGCAACAAATTCTTCAAGGTAAGAATAAAGAAAATTAATATTTGTTTTTGGGTAATAATATTCGAGTCTCTTTTTAAAAATGTATTCTTGCGCAATTTGTATTGTCTCTTATTCAAAAACTACGCTACAGAGTTTAATGATCTCATTAATGGTAAGTAATAGATAAATGCATGGACATGAGTTAAGAATGTTGTATATGTTAATTTTTTTATTGTTTCAGATGACTCTGATGAATCAGAATGGTCCTCTAAACCCTAATTTAACATGCGGAAGGGCATCATATTATAAGACAGATATTTTGGGTATGGAAATGTGTAGCTAGTTTTCTACAATTATTACAGTATTTTACTAGTGAAATTTCTTAAGATTTAAATAAGTTACTGCATGTATTATTTACGTCTTTTTATTTATATTTGACAGAATTACCTACTTATAAACACAGACAACACACACAGTTACTGGAAATACATGTGCTGAAACAATCATACTCGTGTAGCTATCACTGGCCACCATTATTACTGTTAACTGTTCTATAATTTGGTCATAAGTCAAACCGTAAGTATTCTTCTTGTCGTATTACACAAAAAGAATGCTAAAAGTGTTAAAATTAAGGAAAAAATCACATTGCACAATATACACTGATATTTTACAGGAACTGGATTTTGAACTGTCATATTTTTACTGTGCATGGCCCAAAAGTAACTGACCCTATTTTGTCTCACGTAAGTTTTATTTTTTTATAGTAAAACCAAAATGTATTCACCTCTACTATGTGGTATGTTATTTTTAATCAATAAAAAATTTTATTTTATGTCATTTTCCTTCAATTATTAAAATCACCCAATCAAAATTAAATTTCCTATTGGTTAAAGTAAAACTACATCATGTACAGGTAATAAATTTACCCTATACGGTATAACCGAATGTGTAATTTTAGTTTGTTACGTAAATTTATACTCGGAATGGTTCTTTTAATTTTTGCCTAAACTGTAATTTTACATTACTTTGTAAAGATATCTTTTAATTAAAATTAATATCTATCTTGCTCAATACAACAAAAACCACCCTTGCTTCACAAAAACGCACTGTTTACCTCAGGTAATAAGGTCGTCGTTCACATATGTTCATGAAAAAAGCTATAATAAATACAAGAAAACCAAATTCATTCTCCAAAAACTCATTTATTAACAACAAAATAAATACACGTTGATCACTGTAGTACCTACCATGCGTTGGCACAATAAAAACATAAAATATCGGATGGAATTACAGAGTTTTTGTAATCTTAGCATTCGACAAATGGTTTCACTTCAACACTAACAATAAATCATCAAATATACCTATAGATGCCTGTAGTAGCGTATTTTATTCACTTATAAAAATTAGTCAAAATGTCGCCCTTCTCTGTTAATATTGAAGTCTGTATCTTCTCACTTTTGACGAATTGTTTCAGCCACAGCATTTACACGTGCAACTAATTCTTCCACAGAATTCACGGGGGTAGCGTACATACACTAACTCCTTCGTACGTCCCCACAAATAAATCACAGCGAGTTAAGTCCGATGAACGAGAAGGCCACAGCACTGGTCCATTTATTTCTACCCATGCACTTGCTCTCAAAATGCACATTTAACCACTGAGTAACGCAAGTTGCTAGTGATTTTAAGTCAAAATACCCATACAAAATATCATTTGACAAATGCTGATATTGCAACACCATCCAAAATTTCGGGTTCCAGCTCCAATACACAATGCACAATTGAACAAAGCACTTCTGTCAGTAAACTGAGATTTTTTAAATTATTTTAATAATGTTGACCAAGCATGCTTGGCATTTTACAGCTTTTTTTGAATAACATTCTAGAAGAATATGTCCCTAAATTTAAAGCTAAAAGCAAGCGTCATTTTTATAATTATCTTGCTTGGTTTAATTCTGAAATAATTGAATGCATACGTACGAAATTTAAAATGTGGAAAATATATAAAAAACATCAAACTCAATAGTAAGGAACTACGACTCATTTAAATTTTACCGTTTCCGTAGCAAGAGTCTGACTGAATCAGCTTACAAAAATTTTATTTCCAAAATTCAGACAGATGTTATCACTAATACAATTGCATTTTGGTCTTTTGTTCAAAGTAGAAAAGGACAAACACGAATTCCTGGATGTATGCTGTATAATGATTGTGAACTTTCTGAACCTCAAGAAATTGTTGATGCGTTTGCAAATTACTTTAATAGTGTCTACAGAGATATTTTTTAACTCTGAACACAGACTGTACATGGCCTATGTTCAATTTTAAAAAACACATCAATACGTGTAATATTGGTTGCATAACTACGCTTTATTACAAAATGGTGTTGCAACTTGCAAACTGTCATTGTGCTGTCATTAGTATCATTCAACATTCAAGTAGACTCATGTAAACACGATTAACGAATATGTGAAATTTATTTACTAACAGAAACAAGTACGACATTTACTTTAATAAATACTCGAAGTGACCACCTTCATTTTCTAGGCGGCATGGTAGCGGACATGCGTAATGTTGGTTGCATAGTTACCAATGCATTGACGTGTGTTTTTTAAAACTGAACATAGGCCATTTATGGTCTATGCTCAGAGTTAAAAAAATGTCCCTGTATATTGAATCTTCTCCCCATTTCAAAAGGTCACGAGCCGCCCTATTAATAGTTTTCCTGAATATGAAGTTCTCGCAACCCTAAGAGTAAGCAAACTAACTTAAGTGAAATGTAAGAGAGAAATATGTCGATAGTGACACACTGGGTTCGATTATCATTTTTGTCACAAACATTGGGCCCTTGTTAAATGTCTTGGACCAACCAGTGGGTGAAAACAGCTACTTCCCGGACAAGAACCCCGCTGAACGTAGGATTACACCTGCCTAACGTTAGTTTGCTTAGCTTATGGACAGTTTATAGAATATCTTAATTGTCAAGTTAATCATGCATTTAACGAGGAGTTTAG